TTCTGTCACCCAACCACTAGGCGCCGTAAATTATAGGAATCCGTCTATACAATTTATACAAGAGAGAGAACAGAGGCCTACTCTCTGCGATGATCTGCGGATCGGTGGCGGCTTCTTAGGGCGATAACATAAAGAACGCCGAAACTTAAGCGGCTGAAAATCGACTCGGACAGGCGCCAGTCGGTGTCTGCTTGACTCCACATAGAGGGCGCCTATTGCCGATCCCTTTAAGCTCGCGATGCATTGATCTACTGTTGTCTAGTCTGCCTACATCTACCGTATCTAGAATCTAGTTCTAGGTCTTGAGTGATTACAAATTGACAAGAATGGACTCGTCATCCGAGAGGGGGGGGGGCAGGGGGAGGGGGAGAGGGGGGAGAGAGATGAAGGGAGGGAGAGAGGGAGGGAGAGAGAGGGAGAGAGAGAGAGGAGAGAGATTATCTTCCCGTGTCAGCTAGAATGTCGCATAAAATTGCAATATTATGTCATAAATGTGTCAATAACAAAGCTCCCTCATATCTTAGTGATCTCATCCAGATTTATGTTCCACCTAGATCACTAAGATCAGTATCTTTTAAGAGTTCCTAGAAAAGGGAGTAAAAAATTAGCTGAAAGATCGTTCTCCAACCTTGCACCGTCAGTTTGAAACTCTTTCCCAACCCTTGAGACATACAACATCTGAGTCTAAATTTTTTTTAAATATTTGAAGACACATTTAAGGACACATTTAAGGACATCTTCTTTTTTTTTTTTGGTCTGTAGATTCATGTTCAATATACTCTGTCACATTTTTAAGTATACACTGTTAAAATGAAAATAGCTAGTTTCACAATGAGTCGATATTCTTTAATATTTCAGGAATACGAATTCAATCAATTTTAAAAACGAAAAAAGCAGCAACAATACGGAATGTTAACATAACAGGTTTATTCATGACTTGCAAGAGTGTGGGGGTGGTCTACAAAAGTAACACGATCAGTAGCGTTGATGACGGCCTGACATCGTCGCCACCTTGAATCAATCAATCGCTGCACTGCCTGTTGTGGGATGTTATTCCACTCTTCACGCGATGCTCTCTCAAGTTGAGGAAGTGTCTGGGGCTGGGGTTGTCGCATGTTTTTCAACTCACCTCTTGTTAGTCTTGCCGTTTTGAAACGATTCCGTAGATGCGACAGGCGTATAAAAAGATCCTCTCTTGGAGTAGTTTTTCTTCTCCCACGTTGGCGGTGTCGATCCTTTCCTGATTTTGTTGTTTTCTCGCGATCCATTGTCGTGTACACAGTTCTTCGTGTTACTTTAAAATGTCTCGCAGCAGTGGATACTGAGGCACCCCCGGGGATCATTCCAAAGAGCTGATTTCGCACATTTTGTTGTCCGGCGTGACATCATGAAACGTAGACAAGACAAGTTTTATCACTGGCGAATTGTTACAAAAATGACAAAGCTTTGATGTGTGCTTCTTTTTTAAACAAAGCATTGCCGTATCATGATTAATTTTCAAAAAGCACGAAACATGTAACATGCATGCAGATACAAAACCACTCGCGCGTTCAGAAATCTGAAAACAGTTCACCAGCGACAGGTATATCACGTAATCAGTGTGTAAATTTGAAAGCAATTGGTGGCATTGATTTTGTTTTATTGAGCTTCAAAATGTGTATACTTAAAAATGTGACAAAGTATACAATGTTATGTAAATGACTATGTATCCATTTATGTATTTTGTGAATTGCATTGTGTAGATTATTTTATGCTCATTTCGTGACGATGTGTAAGCGTGCGCGTGTGATAAGCAAGTAGATGTGTGTGTGTGTGTGTGTGTGTGTGTGTGTGTGTGTGTGTGTGTGTGTGTTTGGCGTACATGTGTGTCCACATGTGTGCGTGTTACTGCTATGTGTTTGTGAGTGTGTATGTGTGTTTGTGTGTGTGTATGTGTGTTTGTTTGCGTGTGTGTATGAGTGTGTGTATTTTTGTGTTTGTGTCGTCTGCGTGAATATTGTTCGTACATGTATTTTTGTAAAGCGCCTAGAGCTGTGTTTACACGGGAGTGGGCGCTATAGAAATGATCTTCATTATTATTATTATTATTATTATTATTATTATTATTATTATTATTATTATTATTATTATTATTATTGTAATTCGACATCCATTTTGACAAGACACGACACAGCCAGACAAGTAGATCTCTAGACGCTCAACGGAAAACTACACAGGCCTCGTCTCTTCAAAATCACACACTCTACTGACACAGTAAAGCCTAGATATCTAGATAGATCTATATTCTTCTATATTCTAGGGGAAAAAAAATTAATTACACCACAACACAGCTGGTATTGATGAAGCATAATTTTTTGAGGAAAAAAAACACATTTTTCTTAAATATTGCTTAAAATGTAATTCTGCTCGGTGACCACCCTATTTTGACGATGCTGATTTCAAAAATGTTATTAGTTTTTGTCTACCGTGAAGCACCAGCTCTGAAATGACCATTTAAAAGTGTCCCCAGTCCAGTCGGGTGACGTCACACAAACCGCTGAACCCGAGTTGGCGACGCGAGACGGCATTGAGAGTTCGCGACCTCGGTGCTTTCTTGTCATACCTCCATTTTTAATAACAGTGAAAACAGTTCAAACAAAGAGTAATTTAAAAAAGAAGTCTCATTTTCACTGTTAAAAAAATGGATATACTCCTCTTCCTCCTCCTCTTCCTCCTCCTCCTCTTCCTCTTCCTCCTCCTCCTCCTCTTCCTCCTCCTCTTCCTCCTTCTCTTTCTCCTCCTCTTCCTCCTCCTCTTTCTCCTCCTCTTTCTCCTCCTCTTCCTCCTCCTCTTTCTCCTCCTCTTCCTCCTCCTCTTTCTCCTCCTCTTCCTCCTCCTCTTTCTCCTCCTCTT